TGGCAGACTCCAATGGAATCAATAATCTAGAAAAAACTCAGCTATTGCATTACATGTATTAACATATACTCACACAATAGAGTGTGGGGGGGGAGAGAATAAAGCCACTGTACCTAAGTCCAATATAATCAGGTAAGAGAGAGGGAGATCGATTACTGAATGTTTGTTCATCGAATCAACACTAAACATATATAATAGAAATTACGCAACGCTTATATCAGAGATATGAAAAACTTAACCACCAGTAAAAACAAAGAATATGAGGTAATTGGCCTATTAGAATCAGATATTGAAAGTAGTGTGATTACATTGATATTAGTTGCGAGGAACAATTTATCCTGGAAACGTCATCCAGTAAATAATACTATATCCCTCACTGTGTGCTGTATATCAAATGAACAAATCTAATATGGAATTACATTCTACCACAGTGCCCAGATTTTACACTTATGCTAAATCTACCTCAGATAACATTTCAAAATATGGTAAACTCTGATGTAGCATTAGTTTACAGTCGACTGCATGGAATTATGTACAAGAATTGGTTATCGAATGGTAACGGACTTAGCGGTTAAATTTTAGATCAATGAAGACCATTTTTCGATTGACCTCTGACACTGACCACACTGTCCGAAAGTGTTATATCACCTGTTCCAGTCGTCATGTTGAACATTTGAGCACCATAATTAAGTCAGCAGGAGTTGTAACTCATTGGTTAAGGGAGTTAACTTTCAAGCACCAACAACACTCGACCTATAGCTGCAACCTTGGCGTGGTGGTCGGGCTTGCATATCACCATGACCTAACGAGCTATGCTAGTGGAACACTTATTCCCTCGAGGTCCTACCATACCAGAAAGGTCTGTTGGATAGTGGTTAGACAAAATGTAGTTACCGTTGTGGTGTAAATTACTGCAATATGATGAGGGTCTGAGGGCGAAGTCGTACTGCTGCTAGCTGGATGGGGTGTGACAGCAGTAAGGTGTTTCCCTTAGATGACCAGCAGTGCGATGCTACCTTCTCAGTGGAAGGGGGGGTTAGAAAAGGTTGGCCCTAAAAATGACACACTCCACCATACCCCACGGTCTGCCAGGCTGGCGGTGTTGGTTCACTTGTCGTTTCGTTCCCACTATCCTGCCCCCAAAATACAAAAGTTCGAAATAATCATACACAAAAGGCTTCGTGTGACAGGCCCCAAGCAGATGTCCGATGGGCTCTGTGGTCACACTAATTTCTTTCAGGTACCTTAGGAAGAAATAGCCTTCCACGGTATGGGCAGCCAGGAAGTGTCGATCGCCCTCACAGCTCGATCAGAACTCAAGTTTACTCAGATTGCTTCCCACCTCCCCCCTCATTACCTTCCAATCTTCCTTCACATCTCTCAACTAACGATACTACATCATCTTCAATTTCTCGTAGCTCTGTAGCCTTCGACAACGATCTGAGTCCACAGAACAGCATCCACGCTCCAAATTACATATTGGAGCCTTCAATGTCCGCACCCTCCGTCAAATTGGTCAGCTGGCTTCGTTAGCAAAGACTCTAGCAACTGAGGGCATGGATGTGTGCTGTGTTTGTGAGACATGCATACAGGACCCAAGTGCGGTTATTCATCTGACTTCGCCCGATGAATCTGATGAGTCCGCGAAATTCACCCTTCGAGTTTCTGGAGATTCGATAGCTAGCTCTCGTGGTCTTGCAGGTGTAAGCATAGCATTTAAGCACTAGGGCAGAAAACTCATTACTAGACTGGATCCGATTTGATAGTCGCCTCTGCGCTATCCGACTTTATGGCACACTGAGAACTATGAGGAATAGTGAGACTCGGCGTTTTCTCTTTGTAATCTCTGCTTACGCACCCACTGACTGTAGTTCGGATGAAGGGAAGGGCGAGTTCTACCATAAACTGTGTAGCCTCCTCTCGAAAGTCAAACGTTCGGAAGTGGTGGTTGTTGCAGGTGACTTCAATGCATAGGTGAGTAGACTGAGTGAGGCAGAAAGGCACTTAGGTTGCACTTTCGGAGTCCCGGCTGAACGTACAGATAACAGTGATTGCATATTTTTAGCTAGCACAAATTTCATACATAAAGAAAGACACTATCTGACGTGGCGTCCACCGAGCTCAACTCAGCGATGGACACAGATAGACCACATTGCTATTAGTCATCGCTGGAGAGGATCGGTGGAAGACTGCCGCTCCTTCTGGAGTACGTGTTTGGATAGCGATCATGCGTTGATCCGAGCACGTATATGCCTGCGTCTCAATGGACGTAGGAAAAATTTGGCAACAAAACCACTATGCGTGCTACTGGACAATGAAAGCATCAAAGCCGACTTCAATGTGAAGTTAGCTAGGCAGTTATCGAAACAGAAGACTATCACTCATCCGGAAGAATCTTGGTAACATCTTCAGTCTGCTGTAAAAGCAGTGATGAAGACCGTAGCCGACTCCCAAATAGTGGCTGAAAAGAACCAGTGGATATCAGCAGCTTCTTCCGAACTAATGAATGCACGTGAATGCATCCCTGCCTGCAGGCTCTGAGTACAATAAAGAGCGAGCGCAACTTAAAAGTAGATTGAGAAAAAACCTACGCAACGATCGCGAACAGTGGTGAGCAGCGAAGGTTAAAGAAATGGAAAAGGCAGCAGCGATTGTCAACAGTGGACAGTTATTTAGACTTATTAATGCAAATGGGTCGGAAGTCAACAACAGTTAGTGAGGCGGCTATAGCAGAGAAGGACGGATCTGCAATTCACTCACAGAGGAGACGACTGGAATGACGGGCAGAACATTTTGAGGGACATTTTAACTGGCCCCCACCCAACATTGTGTTGCCCGTTATCCAATCGGATCCTAAATGGAACATTGAGATGGGCCACCCAACACTTGCAGAAGTCGGTAACCTGAAACAAGGAAGGGCAGCAGGACCAGACGGACTAACTCCAGAGGCATTCAAGGATGGTGGTAAGGTGCTGTTAGTCAGGTTAACGGAAGTGTTAACCAGTATATGAGAATCGAATACGATCCCCTGTGACTGGTCTAAATCACTGATTATTCCAGTCTTCAAGAAAGGTGAGAAATCCTCTTGTAATAGTCACAGAGGATTCATCCTGACGAACATAGTGTCCAAGATTCTTGGCTCTATAATTCTTCGACGCCTGAGTGGAACTTTGGAACAACAAGCCCGAGAAAACCAGGCAGGATTTAGACCCGGCAGCGGGTGTATCGACCAAATACTCACACTGCGCCAGGTCCTGGAACATAGGCATGCTTACAGACGCCCGACACTGGCTGTATTTCTCGACCTGAAGGCGGCGGCATTTGACTCTGTTGATTGAGAAGTCTTATGGCAATGTCTCTCACTGAAAGCCGAGTAAGTACATCACTTTATTGAAAGCTCTCTACTCGAACACTTATGGGCGTGTTAGAGCCTATGATGAGATGTTCGGGGATCTGTGCTCATCGAGTGGTGTCCGTCAAGGGTGCCTAGAATATGCAGATGACATGACATAGTCCTTTTATGTGAAGACGCCGACAAGATGCAGAGTCTTCTAAACAGTTTGAGTGTCAGTTTGAGAATGTTTGAGATGCGTTTCTCACTACCCAAATGCAAATTGTTGCTCCAGGATCGGTCTTCAACAGTGCCACGACTAACAGTAGAGAGTGTAGTGATTGAGTGTGTTGACCATTTCACCTACCTGGGAAGTGGGATCAGCCCGCATCTGGTAACCTAGTGGCCAATGAAATCTCTGCACCAATACAAAAAACTCGGTTGGCTTTTGACAACCTACTCGACCTGTGGCGCCATTGCAGTGATATCCGATTGTCTATTGAGAGTTGCATGTACTGCACAGCAGTGCACTCTGTTGTACTGTATGGGTGTGAAACATGGCCATTGAAAGTGGAAGACATGAGAAGACTGGGTGCAGGTGTTTGACCACCGTTGTCTTCGTAGTATAGACCGTATTCCGTGGTGTCACCACATGAGTAACGCAGAAGCCAGTCGCAAAGTTTAAGGGAGAAGAGGTAAGTCGGTTGATGAAGTTGTGAGCCTTCATTGACTGAGATTGTTGGCTGAGACGTGTGTTACGTATGCCTAGTCGCTGATTGCCTCGTCATACGATGTTGGCCGAAGTAGATTTAGGGTGGAATAAGTCTTGAGGTGGTGAGACTATATAACATGGGATCAATGTATGAAGTGTTTGACTGTTGGTTTAAGCCATGTAGGGTGATGCAGACTAGGTGGTTTGGGTCCATGGGATCAGAGAAACTAGTGGTTGGGGAGAGAAGGACTTAAGGTGATCACATGGGTGAGAACCGATGTGAGTGGTGCAGATGTATCCCCACACACACTATCCTCATTCTCCTCATCTTAACGACGCTATACTGAATCTCACCATTTTCTCATTCTTCCTTTTTGTCTTTTATTACTTTACATTTCTTTTGACTGCATTCTCTTATCTCCATCTTCCACTTCACTGGCTTTTTACTTGATATAGTGATATTAGGTGTGGTATATCAGAGGGCTAGGCAATAATGCCTAGTTCTATGTTGATCTTACTGATGATGATGATGACTAGGTCATAGGTTGGAGGACACCTCCATCTACCGAGGTTCAGGAAGCCAGATCGAAGTATCAGTAACCGTCACACGACAAAAGATGTGGCTCACTGCCATGTGCGCGAATATGTACAAGTTTGCTTAGTAAAATGTTTCTGTGTAATTTATTAAAATGTCTACTGAATGATTTATTTTGAAATTCAATCTTTATTAACTAATAACCCGAATGGTATTCATCACAGATTAATAAAATCTTATATTATTCAGTATAAGGTATCTAATGAAGTCATTTTGTACATATTAGTGCTCATTTTCAACATGTTTTCCTTGAAACCTTAAATGATATGATATGACATATCATCCAAGGAAGAGAAATGAATATCATTCAACCTTTGTATTTTTTACTCTTTATCTCTTTATTTTATTATGATAATTGTTAGATTTCCAATTCAATGGAATTCCCAGAACGTTTAAGAACAACATTGAAACGAATCAATGAACGACTGATAGCAACAGAGGGTCATCCAAGTGTTTTAACTGGGGTTAGTTGTTATTATTTTGATGATATCATTCCCACATTTTTTTTAATAGTAATATTGTTGTGTTTAAATTGATCTTGGTGATTAACAAAGGAATCCAGGAAGCCTATTTCGTCCTGTTTGGGACTCGTCAGCTAGATGTACCTTCACCTCAGTGAGTGATGTTGTTCCCCCTGAGACTCGAACCTCGTACCCATTATTTCAAATTATTATTGTTATTTGTCCCTTGGGTTCCTAGTGGAACATAGGGCTTCAGTAGCACGCCTCCATTGCACTCTCTTCTTCTCAGTCTTTTCAACCTCAGTCTACGACTGTCCACAAGCTCTCATTTCTTCCTCACACTATCTCTTTTATGTCACCTTCGGACACCCAACTCGTCGTTTCCCATCTGGGTTCCACTTCAGTGCCTGGCCTGAGCGTGATGTCCCCGAATGGTCTTCTCAGTGCATGCCCAATTCAATCCATCTCCACTTCCTTCTGCATATTTATTGAGTGACAGGTTCTTGGTTGGTTCATTAACAGAGTTCTTTGTTGCTTATTCTTATTATTCTGGACATCTGATCTGATCTTCAGTATCGAGTAAGCGTAGGCAACAGCTGTTGATGAATATCTGTAGTTTGTTGGAAATGCTTTTCTTAACGCGCTATGTCTCTCAACCATCCCATAGAAGCACTGACTTACTTGACTGACTTAATGTTGGAAATCCGGATCCTGTTCATGCTTTATGTTGAGTGCAGAAGATCTCCACACTGGTTTCAAGTTAATGAACGCCTGTCTTGCTTTTCGATCCTGTCTTTAACGTCCTCGTCTGTCCCGTCTGTAGTTGAAATGATGCTGCCTACCTAGATAGGTGAAGGAGGCTACTTTCTTTAAGTTTCTCCTGTTGATGGTGATTGGAGTTTGTTGTTGTTAGTGGTGTTGTTGGTTGGGTATCTTCATCACCCCAGTCTTCTGTACATTCACTTGAAGTCCCGTCTTCGCTGCCTTACCCCGCCTCTTCTGTCAACTTGTTGGTTTTTGCCTGTAGATCTTCGAGTTTGTCTGACATTAGACACAAGTCATCAGCGAAATCCAAATCTTCTAGGATCTTTTTCCCTGTCCAAAATGTTATCCACTATGTATTGTTGTATGGAGACTAATCTTTTATTTTGAAGTATTATATCTACTGCAGTTTAAGTAATCCATATACATGCCACAGGTTGACTGTGTTATTGTTGTATATTGATATTCGAAGTACTACTCACTTGTCTGAGTGATTGAATTTTCACTGACCTCTAGGTGAAGTCATATCGACTAATTAGCTTACAGTCTTATGAAGACATATTTTTTTCACTGTATGACAGGGTTGTACACTTCTCTGAAGTGTTTTACACTGATTTATCCGTCTGTTTGATGCGATACTCAATTTTTCAAGTTGTTATTCATCATCGACTGACATCATTTGGAGGAACAAAGGAAACCTGTGAGCACTGGACAGCTGTTTCGTCCTAGTATGGGACTCCTTAGCAGTGCGCACCCATGACCCCGCCATGGATCGAACCCGTGACCTTCAGGTTCCGTGGTAACTACCTTCGAGAGATATTCCCGAAGTTCAAATGAGAAGTCGTGGCCGATGGGGGCAAAACCTGATGGTCGTGAGGACAGTTACTCAAAGATGACATTGGGTGGCGGTTGTGCTATATTGTGATCTAACAGAAGTTGGAAATATGGATCATTGGATTCTGACCCAGTGGCTCAATGGTAACGTGTTGGCCACGGGACCTGAAGGTCGCGGGTTCGGCCCCTGGCAGGGTCGTGGGTGCGCACTAGGACGGAACAGCTGTCCACTCCTCCCAGGTTTTCTTTGTTCGTCCAACTGATGTCAGTCTACTATGAATAACAACTTGAAATATTTCCAAATCTCTACAACTTCAAAATTCAATACTTAATTTTGTTATTTCCCATATCCTTTGTATGAATTGGGAGTAAATATTTTGGTAATGGATATAACCTAATCTTCTTTCTAGTGGATAATCCCCTGTTCATACGTAGTTTGTTTCCTGATAGGAACTGTTTTTATTGTACATTGAAATACATGTAAAGTTTTGTAACCTATTATCTTAGTGATAGAACTAAAATTTAATGACGGCCAATCACGTTCAAGTATTAACTGACCAATCGGAGTCAAGCATGCAAAAAGACAGGAAAATGTAACTTTATTTACAATTTATAAATATGTTTACGTGAGAAATAAAGATATCATTTGACGATTGAAGGTGAAATTGAAATTTGGCCCACCACCAAATTTGAACCAGAGACCTTCGGGTTTCCGACGCGATACTTTACCAACTGAGCTACGAGGTCGAAATGCTGACCAGATTTTTATTTCACTTCAATCACAAGGTGGGGTTTCATCTGACTACCCTGTGAGTTTGTGTCGCGTTACTACCACTTGATCGTATTTACTCTGTGTTCTGCCTAGTCAGGACTTCTTATTCCAATCCAAACTTAGCTGAATTAAAAAGGGGGAGCCCCGATGGTCACTGGTTTGAATCCGTCCGCGGTCCAAATTTTCATTTCAACTTAAATCACCACCCAGTATAAATACCAGTCTGCCAAATCAAGGTTATCCCAGATAGAATGATAATTAACACGATGCTCCCCCTCTTCAATTCTATCAGATTTGGTTTGGGATGAGAAATCCTTGCTAAGCAGCAGCCAGTGTGAATACGACCAAATGGTAATAACGCGTCGGGAATTCACATCTTAGTTGAGCGAAACTGTGGTCAGTAGTCGAATCTCGTAGCTTAGTCGGTAGAGCATAGGGTCTGAATCTCGGCGGTCGCTTGCTGGAATCCAACCGCGGTCCAAATTCTCATTTCACCTTCAATCATCACTTAGTATAAATGAAGATATCTGGATTTTTAATAAACTTATGAGCTTTAAAACGATGCTATTGTGTGTATTACCACTCATCCATATGAGACATAACTTATGTAAACTGCTTAGTTCTCATGATTCCTGTTCTGTTGATAGTTCCGCATTAGAGAATGTTAGAGGGTGTGATTTGTCTTGGAGTGTATTTTTCTTCGGACCTTTCCTGGTCTTCCCATATCTCACTAATTTCCAAAAGAACTTTCCACCTTATTTTCTATATTAGAAAGCTGAGAGTATCTGGTATTACTCGGCCTCTCCTCCTGTGTTTTATAAACTCCTGCATCACACCTATTCTCCTTTATTGCACCCCTTTATTTTTGCCTGGGTTGCTGGGAAAAGACTATGCTATTCTGCGTACAATTTGAAGATTGTCAGCAGAACTAGCTGTGTACCCCTAAACCTTCTAGTTAAAACTGTTGTGGACAAACAATATTAACTTATGTAAACATCTGACAGGAGTTATTTTATCTGATGACCAGCATCACCTTCACTGAAAGCTGTCTGTCTATCGGTCATCTGGATAGACGAGGAGCAATTTCATAAGGCTCTATGGACGCATAAAAACTCTGAAATACCATATTTAGCCCCCCCTGCTGCATGATGAAGAGAGTATTAGAAATGAACTAACTAATCAAATGTTTTTGAGAACAAACTAACTGAAGATGAGCGTGTTGCTTTTCACGTATTATGAATCTAATTGCCAATGTTATTGTCTACTTAAATTGACTGTGCATTTTGAAGAAAGTTGTAGATAGAGTGAATATTTTTATCTTTTCTTCATGTAATTTCTACTTATTCCATTTTGTTATATATGCATGTACACTGTCTCTATCTAACTGGTACTACATGACATGCTAGAACTTCTGTAGAGTCTTCCCGAAATGACTTTCAGAATAAAGCCATTATTATTATTATTATTATTATTATTATTATTATTATTATTATTATTATTATTATTATCATTTCGTATCAAGTCAGTGCTGCTGTGTGATAGTTCAGAAACTTGGTATGTCACAAAAAGCACTCCCAACAAACTACAGATATTCATCAACAGCTGCCGCCCACGCTCACTCGATACTGAAGATTAGATGGCCAGAAGAAATAAGCAAAAAGGAACTCTGGGAACAAATCATACAAGAACCTATCACCCAACAAATATGCAGAATAAGAAAGTGGAGATGGATTGGATTGGGCATGCACTGAGAAGACCATTCGGGGACATCACGCTCAGGCCAGGCACTGAAGTGGAACCTAGATGGGAAACGACGAGTTGGATGTCCGAGGCGAGGGTGACGTGGAGGAGATCGTGCGAGCAAGAAATAAAAGCTTATGGGCAGTCCTGGAGCAAGGTTGAAAAGACTGAGAAGAAGAGAGTGTAATGGAGGCGTGCTACTGAAACCCTACGTTCTACTAGGAAAGCAATATGAAAATAATAATAAAACTTGAGCACTATATTTCCACTTGTGTTCGTGTTAACGGTCTTCAGCACTTTCTTTGATAACTCCACATATATTCCAAACTTGTTTGTGTACACTCTGTTTGTTTGAACAACAAATTGGTTCGTTTGAACAACAACTGGATGTGGTTAACCGATTTCAGATAGAAACATTTGTGTATATCAGTGTACTACAGTTATAGTACACAGTGCCAGCCATTTTTAAAAACCTGCTAAAACAGACTTTTTTTGATCGATTCTTTATCCACTGAAAATATCCTTTTCCTAGTATTTTGATCGTATATATATATATATATATATATATATATATATATATATATATATATATATATATATATATATATATATATACCAAGAATCTATGATTTGCCAGCATCTCTAACCTGATTAGTTTTTCTTCAAAGTTTCTCTTCACTAACATTTAGTTGTGGCATCTCAGATTAATTGATTTTATAGGTAACTACAGGATGTGTATCATTTTAATGGAATGTAAAGGATTCTTATGTAGTGTAGTATAGTGATAAAATATAATTTCATTAGATTGTTATCATTGTAGGTGATAGTTTCTAATTTTAAGATATCATAAGAATGAGTTGATTGAAGGGTAATTACGCCAAGGTTCTGTGGTTGTTGACCCTTATCAGTAAAGTATTTCTGCAACCTCGAAGGAAGTGATGTTTCTGGTGAGATTTGAAGTCACATCACCAATTGGTACAGTCACAGCTGTTATTACAGAGCTGTATGGTCTACGATTAACCTCATATAGTACTTGATTTGATGCATTGATTAGTCACTGAGAAGTAAATGAATTCATATTATCCTCAGTTTTCAGTGCTAGCCAAGTTCTTCTTATCACATTAATCTTTAAATGTCAACTAAAAGGAAGTTATATCTGTAACTAGCTAATTCTACTATACTAATGAGTCTCCATGAGAAAGAAACCTGAATAAACACTTTCCTGTTAATCGACTTCAATTGTTGAATATATATACATATATTAATGATGGATGGTGGCTAGCAGTGGAATCCAGGATGCGCATTTCATCCTATTTGGGACTCGTCAGTCGGATGTAACTGCTTTCCAGTGAGTGATGTTGTTCCCACCGGGATTCAGACTCGGTAACGATCTCTTCTAGCCACGATCCATCATTATTATAATTACAACGTAGGCAATATCAAGGCATCCGCGCAGGAGCCCATATGCCAATAGAGACCGATCAATTTGGTCCAAGCAACGACGGTATCATATAAAAACAATTATATATATATATATATATATATATATATATATATATATATTACTTAATGTATTATTTGTAATCTTATTTTGGTTTTGTTTGATTACAGGATCGTTTCTCATTACCTTTACGTGGACCTATTGATTTATTCAATCCTGTACAATCTACTCATGAAAACAATTCATCTATAACTTGTACAGATAATGCTACATGTGAATACCAATTGATACATTGCCTACAAGTGTATATTGTTTCAGTTGAATCAGTTATTTGTTTAGCAGATATATTAGAGACAGTAAGTATATGACTTTACTTATTGTTATTGTTAGTGATTAATGTTCACTCATTGTTTATTTTTTTTGTTTCTGGTTTGGCTTCATGAATAGTCTACATAGTTACACTTATTGTTGTGTTCAACAATACAACATATATAGAGTGTACTACTTTTATAAAGACTATTTGCTTAGATTTTATCAACGTCGATATAAAAGAAAAAGGTGAAGCATAGTTAACTATCTACAAAGCCAAGGACAAGATAGGATAATTGCTGTAGCAGAATCCTTCAGAAAAATCTCCTGTAAGTACCATTTTAGTCTGTTTATTAGAGATGTCACATACAGTGAAAGGATAGTAGCATTTACTGGATAAGGTTTCGGACGCAATTTATTGTCCATATTCATATCAGGTAACTAACTCCACAACTTCGAGACAGTCTTTATATATTCCTAATTTTCTCTCCTTCTCTGTAATGACAAGGGTAGTAGAATTTTCCATATATTTGGGACAGGTGCAGAATCATTCCTGTTACTGCATGTATTTGGTGTTGATTCGATAAACAAAGATTCAGTGAACATCAATCTCTCCCTCCACCTAACTAAGTTAGTTTTCAACACTATCGCCCTATCCCACCTTACTGTGTGGTTGTGTCATCGCATGCAGAGCTACAGACGAGGTTTTCTCTAGATTTCTTAACTTATTAGCATCTACTAATCTTGATTCAGCTAAGTTTTTTGCGCTCTGTTATTCTAATCGACCCTGGCTAGTCGACTGCTTTCACCTATGTACTTGACCTCGCAATCATTGCAAGGGATTTGGTGAACCAGATTATTTTGGTTAATTGCATCGATAGGATCTTTTAACTTACAAAGCTTGTTTCTGAGCGAGTTTGTTGGTTTGAATGACACTTTAATGGCAGCCAGTCATATTGAGAATTCTTCGTAATGCTTCTTAGGTACCTTCCTTGTATGGTATGATTGCAAGGTCAAGTACACTGACACTAGTCAGATAACTATTGAAGACGAGAAACCGATGGACCATTGATTCATCCTAAATTGTAACTCTTTAACAGTGAATACCAACAATCCCTATATGATTCCTAGCCCATAGCCATGCAGTCTCGAAGTAAGTATGTGAACTACCATTCAGTTACTGGGTTGATACCCAAGTTTTCATGTTTTCAACTTGTATACATTTATGATATTTAAGCTAAATGTCATTGGTGAGCACTTTTCGCTACAGCCAAATTGGTAAAGTCTAAAAGTCACGGCTTCTGACTAAAGTTTACATAAATTCATATCAGAACGAGTTATTAATCACCACTGAATCATTAGCTTTTTGGAAATCTCTTGTCATCAAAATATTCATCACGATTTGACATTGTCTATATTCAGCTAGTGATATAAACTGTTATAAATACTTTCGTTACTTTCATATTCTGTGCTGTTCATAGGGCAAACAACATTATAGACATAAAACAGTTGTGTTTTTTCGCTTATAAATACTTCTTATCTCTATTTTCTATACTTTGCTGTCGCAAACATGCTTTAGGCTCTTCTCCCACACTTGACTGTTTGCCTACCAGATAATAAACGTGGTCTAGCACTTGTATTTCGAGAACAATCCTTAATGGCAGCTCGACAAATTCGTGAACCATGTGCAGCTGGATTGGCACCACAACTTTTGAATATCATATTGCCAAAGTAAGTCATGTGCATATACTGAATGATGATTGAAGCCGGATTCAAACCAGCGACCACTGGATTTCTGGTCCGATAATCTACCAACTGAGCTACGATAATCGACTGCTGACCACATTTTTATTTCATTTTAATCACAAGGTGAAGTTTCGCCCGACTACCATATGAATTTGTGATGCGTTACCACCACTTGATCGTATTTACACTGCGTGGTGCTTAGTCAGGACTTCTCATCCCAGTCCAAATCTAACTAAATTAGAGGGGGAGATCACCATATTGATTATCATTTGACTATCTGAGATAGCTTGTTCGAATCCGGCGGCGGTCCAAATTTTCATCTCACCTTCAATCATCACCGAGTATAATTACTAGTCTGCCAAATTACGGCTATCTCAGGTAGTCAAATGGATATATATATATATATATATATATATATATATATATATATATATATATATATATATATATATATATATATGGTTGGCGGAAGTTCCGGTATCATAGATGACACAATTACCAGTATGCTTTTACAGCTAACGCTGCTGATGCTTAAGTTAGTTCACTTCTTGAGATAACTGTGAAGATTGCGTCTAGTTCGATTCACAGTAGGCAAATTATGTTAAAATCGCGTTTGCTGAACATGCTGATGAAGTGGAAATCCATTTGAGAACCTTAATGAATCATTCTAGAATGCTTACGATAAGTTTATTACCTCTTAAGTGTACGTTATTACTTTAGAAGGAGTTGGTATCGATTTCTCACTAAATAAAGTCGACAGCGAAATGATGCATTGCGCTTACTACCATACTTACCCTAAGGAAGCAAATTAGTCTTAATTAGTTGGTTGTTGACGAAATTTTGGCACGAAGAATAAAGAATTCAGTTGTTTGTCATAAATGTTGATAGTCAAGTGTGCCATACCCTTCTATATGACTGTTGAAGAGTAGTTTTAGCCGGAGGATTTTTGGCAAATTCAGGTATTAAGTGTAATGAAAACACTGTTTCAGCCGTGAAAAGGTTAAAAGTAGAATATGATGAAATGGAGCCACATATAGTTGTTGGAGTTGTGGACCTTCATGAAATGAGATGGTTGGCAGACATGTTACACACGACAACTCAGCCAGATAAACAGCATGCAGTGAATTTAGATTGGAATTCGTCATGGACTGACATCAGTCAGACGAACATTGGAACCCTGGGAGCACTGGACAGCTGTTCTGTCCCACTAGTCTGGGACTTCTCTATAGTGCACAACCACCACCCTGCCCCACCAGGGATCGAACCCAGAACCTTTAGGTTCGGTGGCCAGCACATTACCATTGAGCTAGCCAATGGGTTCGGATCCATTGGTCCATATTTCCTACTTCTCACAGTTCACAGCATGGTGTGACCTACATCTAATGTCATCGCTGAGCAACTGTCCTCATGATTGACTTGGTTGACTCCACTTCTCATTGGAACTTCGGGAACCACTTCTCGAAACTAGTTACAAATGAGCGATAGATTAATTAAATTTTGACGTTTGTGGGGATTTACTAATTTCAGGTTGGTATTCATCAACCACCCAAATCGAACATATGAACAGTTACTTAAAGACAGCATTCCATGGAAGTCGTGCGATATCGTACACTGATAGAAGTACGGAATATGGACCATTAGACCCCGTCCTAGAGGCTCAAAAGTAACGTGCTGAACACGAAACTTGAAGGTTCTCGGTTCGACTCTCGGCGGTGTCATGGGTGCGCACTCCTGAAGAGTCTCATACTAGGACGAAACAGCTGAGTAGTGCTCCCAGGTTCCTAATGTTCCTCTAGCTGATGTCAGTCCATGATGAATTCCAACCTGAATGCCAAGCTCCTAGGAATTCCGTGATATTGTTTGTGTTTCCTCTCTCCGTCCAAAATGTCCACATTGTCAAAACTGAATTCATGTCCATAGTTGTTATCCACGTGCACTGAAATGAGTGATGAAATGTCGTGACATTTAATAGCCAGTTGTTCATATAGACGAAGGTGAAGGTGGCGACCACTTTTTCCAATGCACTGTTGACTAGTTATTCCAGTTGATTTTGTAAACCATATTCGGTTTGTCTTCTTTGATTGTTGCATCCTTTCGTCTGCATAGTTGGGTGTGGAGAGAATTTGTTGGTTTGTGAGCCACACCAATTCCAGGAGGTCTCAGTACTCTTGTTGTGATTTCTGATCTATCCTTCATATATGGTAGGATGGTGTTTTTATTGATTTCTATCCATGACTTTGTAGTTGTTTATGTATGCACAAAATTAGCTGCGCGAAGACTCTATTCAAAAAAGCGAGAACACATTGCAGTACAACTTCACGGAGAAACAAAGAAAATTACTTCATGTCCACTCTAAAGAAGAACGGCTACCCATGAAACTTTATCAGAAGATGCCTATCCCGTACAACATCAACTAAAACATCACTGGCTTAAGTCAACAAGCGCATCATCCTATCATACATGAAGAATAGATTAGAAATTACAAGATTATTGAGACTACCTAGAATTGGTGTGGTTCATAAACCAACAAATCCCCTCCAAACCCAACTATACAGACCAAAGGAGACAAACCAAACATCATTTACAAAATCAACTACAATAACTGTAGTCAACAGTCTATTCGACAAAGTGGTCGGCCTCTTCACCTTTGTCTACATCAACACAAATTGGCTATTAAACGTCACACATGACATTTCATCACTCATTTCAATGCATCTGGATAACAACTATGGACATGAATTCAATTTTGACAATGTAGAAATCATGGATGGGGAGAGGGAACAGGAAGAATATCAGAGAATTCCTAGGAGCTTGGCATTCACGTCAGTCAGTTAGTCCAGCAATCAATTGATGTATAAACACAGACCCAATTTATTAATCAGTGAGTAAAATGATAAGCAACATAAAAGTGAAAGGAGCAGCCAACAAAAAAATCTATACCATCAGTCAGGAACACAACAATCAAAGTAAACAACCAACCATAAACCAGTTGGTTAGGGCAAGCTACGAAATCACTTACAGAGAGATATTGACAGGTAGCTCACTTCATACTGAAGTTAGTGCTGATAATGTTGTCTAGGAAGACGATGAAAGCTCGACGACTAAACAACCTAGTTCAGAGAACACAATACAATCAAAGAATATCTATATCCTGTTCATTTTGGTTTTATAAGGTATGATAGTATTTTAATTCCTTGTCTTTCTTATGTATTGACTTCTGTTTTGACAAGGACTGTGTCATGTTATTTGTTTAGTTTATCGGTTAAAAATCAAGCTTAAAGGATGACTTATTCTTAAGATAATCTTCTATAACTTTTTATCTTATTTACAATAGAATAATTGATGTATCAACAAAAACAACTCGGCAGTCTACAACGAATAGTAGTAGTAGTAATAGTAGTACATCGATCACCTCAAGCTTTAGTAAGATTTGGCCATTAGGATCGAATACAAGTCAACAACAACAACAACAAATGGATAAAGATTCGACTACACTGAATACAAACTCTCCATCATCTCCACCTCAGAATCCTACAAATAATTTAAACTCTTCTTCTTCTTCTTCTTCTTCGTCGTCGTCGTCGTCTACATCAAATTCATCAAGTAATATTCTTGCACTACATATATGTACATTGAATTGGTCAACTAAAGAGGTGGCCAACACACCGAATACTTATATCACTAATATTAATACTAATATTTTTCATCCATTTTTATCTGTAATAAAAAATATATCACAAGAATTCAATCTACAAGGTCATATAATTATTATTATCATTTGGAAAGCATTATTAGCATGTCTTGCTTCTCAGTTACTTGAAGCATTTGGACGAATACAACAATGTTCTGATGAAGGACGTGGTCAAATGTTATTAGATATACAAACATTAGCTGTATATGCACAAGCAGCTAGTAAAATACGGTATGTTCTTCAATATGAACTATTATGATTACTATTATTTTTAAGATAGTATTCATTATGGACTAATATAAGTTCAACCCTTAGCCAATTAGTAGGTGAATACTGTTGAGTACCATACTAGGACGAAACAGCTGTTCAGCTTCGATGGTGTATCCGATCATTACAAAATAATGATTGACAGAATTCCTTGAGCACTTAGAACTAAACAACATGAAATTGGCTATTATTTGATACTTGTATTTTTCTGTTGCTATACAGAGTTGAATTTCTTGACTTCTCTTAGGAGATAGGTTCCTATGCATATGCCTTGATACTACTGTCTGTTATTCATAATGTTGTATTTATCATGATGACAATAATTGGAATCTAGAATGTGCTTTTTATCTCATTTCGAACTCATCAGCTGGGTTCAAGTCTTAGTGGAGATGCAATCACTCACTGGGGTGCAAGTATATCCAGCTGATGAAGCGCGCACCCCTGAATTCCACTGTCAGTCACCAAGGTGGATACTCTACGGTGACTGATCAGTGTCTAATCCAGTCTTATAAGAGATATATCACGGATCGAATAACTCAGTTGGTACAGGTCCGAGGTGACATATACATTGGTTCCATATATGTTTTGCTGATGAGTTCCAAAAAGCACAGAACTCAGGTCTAAGGTTTCCTACCGGTCGCCTTCAACGATCTAACACCATTTAGTAACGTTGGTGAATTGTTGTGGTCATTCTTTATCTAGCCAATCCTACTTACATCTCTACGATTCATACCAAATAAAATAGAATAAAGCCATTACAAGTGTCTTTGAAATATCCATGTGCAACTAAACAGATAAATAGACCAGGCTATGACGTTATAAGTATGCAAGAAGATGGCTAAGACATTCATAACCATCTTGCCCTAACGTAAACTTTTGTTGAAATGAACATATCAACTCGTAAAACCTTGTAATTATCGAAAGCTAACTGCACTCCGTAATACTTCAAAAACTGCAGTCACTTCGCTTAAGGACAGATTTACAAAATCAACCTAGAATCTCGTACACAAATGGACCAGCTGAAATTGTCACACTTCACAATAGTATACAAGGAACAATTGTTATTATTCGTTCCTTGAGTTCCTAGTGGAACATAGGGCTTCAGTCTTTTTAACCTAGCTTCACCACTGCCCAGAAGCTTTCATTTCATCCTCACACTATCTCCTCCATGTCACTCTTGCCTCGAACGCCCAACTCGTCGTTTCTAATTTGGCTTTAACTCGACAGCCTGGTCTGACGTGTAAGGTTCCCAAACTGCGTTCTCAGTGTAAGCCCAATTCAATCCATCTCCACTTTCTTCCTCTGCATATTTCTTAGCCGATAAGTTCTTGGTTAGTTGTTTCGTTGTGGAGCCAACCGGAGTTCCTTGTGGCTTATTCTTATTATTCTGGCCAACTGATCTGATCTTCAGTATGGAGTGAGCGTAGGCGGCAGCTGTTCATGTATGTCTGCAGTCTGTTGGAAATGCTTTTCATAACGCGCCAAGTCTGTGAACCATCACAGAAGCACTGACTCACTTGACCGAATTAGTGTTGAAAATCGGGATGTTGTTCACGCTTTATGGTGAGTGCAGTGCAGTGCAGTGGAGTAGATCTCCATACTGATTATTTCAGATTAATGCAGGAAGGCCTATCTTGCTGTCTTTTCGATCGTGGCTTTGACGTCCTCACCTGTGCTACTTTCTGTAGTTGGAACGATGCTGCCTAGGTAGGTGGGTGAAAGAGATAACTTCCTTCAGATTTCTCCCATTGATGGTGATTGGTACTTGTTGTCGTTGTTGTTGTTGGTGGTGGTGGTTGGGTATCTTCATCACCTCTGTCCTCTTTACGTTCACCTGAAGCAAGTCTCGTTTTCGCTGCCCTGCCTCGCCTCTTCTGCCAACTTGTCATTTTTCGCCTGTAGATCTTCGAGTTTGTGCGACATAAGACATTAGACATAAATCATCATCATCATCGGCGTAATCCAAATCTTCTTCTGGAGTCTTTTCATCGGTCCAGCCAGCGTATGCACATCTCGCAGCTCCTCATAGTTTGTTGCATGATCCAGTCGACCACAATCAAGAAGATCATTGATGGTGATAGTAGGCGGAAACTTTGTCTTACTCCTATCTTCACTTCAAACGCATCGCTGAGCTTTCCATTGTCTATCACCTGGCATGCAGCGTCGTCATATAGCATATAGCTGCAGTTGATAGAGGTTTATGGCAGTAAAACCGTAGTTTTGAAGCAGCTGCCTGTCAAATTACTTCTTGGTCAACGCCATCGAAGGTCTTTTCAAAATTGATGAAGTTGAGTTGACTTTCATTCCATGCTCTGTTCTATGATGATGATGATGATGATGAGTAGCGTTGCAATTTGATCGGCACATGATTTGTTTCCCCTGAAGTCAGCCAGCCTGTTCCGGTCGTAATTTTGAATGCAGAGCATTTTTTACGAAGAACAAATTGGATTGAAAAAGACTAGTATCAAAGTAATAGACAAATATGTATGAGAGAATAAGGAGTTTGAAGATAAGCGGTAGTGTAAATATTTAAGCTTTAGAAAAATGTAAACGAGTAAATAAATCTGCACCACTGTGACCACTTTTCAGCCATGTCACCAAGAGTCCACAATCACTGATTCCTGTCGTTTCGCAGACCAAAACTAGACAGTCTACATTTTCCAATACGGCTCACACCAACAGTCAGGGAACTTCATAGACTGATGCCACGTCTTGATCTGGCCACCCTGAACCCTCTTCCAACCTTATCCTAGCATAGCAAGTTGACGTAGACGGTGGTTCGGCATGAGTAGTACATGTTCAAGTCATCTCAGTCCACTAAGGTTCACAACCTCATCAATCGATTTGCCTGGTACCCTTCGCCTAACTTCAACATTGCTCATACGGTGTCTCCACCAAACATGAACAATGCTATAAAGACACCTATGATCAAAACCTTGTAATCACTTTATATCTTCTACTTTAAATGGCCACATCTCACAGCCGTACAACACAGCAGAATGGACTGTAGCACAGTATACTCGTTCTTTAATAGGTAATGGGATATCTCGCCAGTCGGCAAATCCTAAACGGACCTTCTAGGTGAGCACTAGAGCCTTTTAATTGATTAGTATAATTCATACTGATTTCTTGTTAATAAAATAATAGAAAAATTCTTCTCAGTATACATTTGACTGATCCATAATGGCAGAAAATTTAGAAGGCACTCAGGTGATGTGCCTAACATCCCATTTGTAGAAAACAAGCATAATTATGGGTATCTCGAACTATTTATAATAAACTTTGCTATAGAAAGTTATCCAATATTATACATTTAATTATCACTGAAAACAGTTAAAAATGACAGTAATTCAACAAAGGAATAAATACACTTTAACTACTTAGAAAGACTCAAGATATCAGTGGATCAAAAGAATACATAATAATTATTACTATTTGTCCCTTAGGTTCCTAATGGAACATATGGCTTCAGTATCACGTCTCCATTCCACTCTGTTCTCTGCAATCTTTTGGACCTGATTCCACGACAGCCCACAAGCTCTCATTTCTTCCTCACACCATCTCCTCCATGTCATCCTCACCTTGGACGCCCAACTGGTCGCTTTCCATTGGGGTTCCACTCGAGGGCCTGACGCGTGATGTCTCCAGTCGGTCTTCTCAGGGTATGCCCAATCCATCTCCACTTCCTTCTGCATATTTGTTGGGTGATAGGTTCTTGCTTGGTTCGTCGCCAGCCAGCTAGACAGAGTTTCCTTGTTGCTTATTCTTACTATTCTGGCCATCTGAGCTTCAGTAACGAGCGTAGGTGGCAGTTATTGATGAATGTCTGTAATTTGTTGGAAATGCCTTTCGTGACGCGCCAAGTCTCTGAGCCATATAGAAGCACTGACTTGACTGGGTTGGTGTTGAAAATCCGTATCTTGTTCCACATGCTGAGTGCAGAAGATCTCCACACTGGTTTCAGGCTAATGAGCGGCTGTCTTGCTTTTCCGATCCTGACTTTGACGTCCTCGTCTGTACCACCCGTAGTTGAAACAGTGCTGCCTAGTTAGGTGAAAGAGGCAAAAGAATACATAACCTAGACTATAATGAAATAATAATTAAAACGACTGCTTGTCTATGAATGAGATGAGGAAAAAATAACCTAAATTAGTGATAGTACGTATCACCACTGTATTGGATAAGCGTATATGAAGAGACTGGAAAAGTTTAAAGATAGACTTAACTCAGTTAAGTATACCCATTTAGAGACATAGAGTAAACGATAATAATAATAGTAGTGGTAATGAGAGGTAGTGGCTAGTAGTGGAATTCAGGATACTCATTTCCTCCTCTTTGGGACTCGTCAGCTGGATGTAACTGCCTTCCAGCGAGTGATGTTGTTCCCACCGGGATTCGGACTCGGGAGAGATCACTTCAAACGCGAGAGCCACAATAGCCACTTCTTGTGCGACAGGTATACTTTTGGTGTTATCGCTTGTATTACACCGTCTTTGATTTGACCGAATTGATCAGTCTCTGTTGGCATATGGGCTCTTGTGAGGATGCCTCGATATTGCCTGTGTTTTAATAACGTATAGTAATGATGGGTAGTGCCTAGCAGTAGAATCCAGGATGTGCATTATTAATAATAACAATAGTCACTTTATTCCAAACAATATGTATGACAGTATGAAATTCTCAGCACATAATTATTCAACAACTTCACTCCCAGAACCAATACTTTCACACAAAATGGTTATTGCATCTGAACGATGTTAATAATAACAACAACAACAGTATTCAAGGCAATCAATCATGTGAAGAAATAGCCAACTGGTTTTGGATGGGCGTCTGGTCTATAATAAAGAGTCAACAGAAATGTAAACGATGGTTCGGTGGTGGTAGCAGTTCATTGAGCCGGTACAATAATCTGCAATTCAAGCTGAGCGTCCGATGGATAGAAATATGATGTACTTTTGTGCACTGAAAAGTTCACTTCCATATAACTTGACATTTTTTTTCTCTGGTATGCTACTGACTCGAGAAACAGAGAGTTGGAAATAGTTTGGAAATGTGCAAGGGTATTTGGTTCGTTTGAAGAATATATTTAAATGCATAAAACAAATTGAAAGGAAAGAAGGTGAAAAATGTTCGATGGATAATTTTGGTAGCCCAAGGTTCAAGCAGGTCGCCGTTTTAAATAGTGGAGAATATTTGTAGTTCAGGTAAATGGTCTTGGTTGTACTGTGTTCTCTGAACTGGGTTGTTTAATCGTGGAGCTTTCATCGTCTTACTACACGACATCATCCGCAACACTTACTTGAGTACGAAGTGAGCTGTCAATATCTCTCCGTGAGTGATTTAAGTAGCTTGGCCTGACCAACTGGTTTGTGATTTGTTGTTTCCCCGTTGATTATTGTGTCATTGACTGAATGGATAGATTTCCCTGCTGGCTGTTCCTTTGCTTCACCTATCACCTTTCTGTCGTTTATCATTTTTGTCAATCGTTGATAAACTGGGTCTATGTTTATACATCGATTGACTACTGACTGACTGACTGACTGACCCGAATGCCAAGCGTCTAGGAACTCTGATATTCTTCATGTTTCCTCTCTCCATCCATGATTTCTACATTGTCCATAGTTGTTATCCAGATGCATTGAAATGAGTGATGAAATGTCATGTGTGACGTTTAATAGCCAATTTGTGTTGATGTAGACGAAGGCGAAGAGGCCGACCACTTTGTCGAATAGACTGTTGACTACAATTATTGTAGTTGATTTTGTAAATGATGTTTGGTTTGTCTCCTTTGATCTGTATAGTTGGGTTTGGAGGGGATTTGTTGGTTTATGAACCACACCAATTCTAGGTAGTCTCAATAATCTTGTAATTTCTAATCTATCCTTCATGTATGATAGGACGATGCGCTTGTTGACTTAAGCCAGTGATGTTTTAGTTGATGTTGTACGGGATAGGCATCTTCTGATAAAGTTTCATGGGTAGCTGTTCTTCTTTAGGATGGAAATAAAATAATTTTTTTCCTTTTCTCTATGAAGTTGTTGTGCTGCATTGTATTCTCGCTCTTTTGAAAAGAGTCTGCATGCAACTAATCTTGTGCATTGTTGTTACTGTAGTTGAGGATTTGATCAAAGTGTATTGGCTTCCTGTACACTTTGGTTTCCAGGTTTTCCAATGGCAAGATGATGAAAGCTCCATGGCCAAGTAACCCAACTCAGAGAATGCAATCAGGGGCATCGTATTTACTGATCTTCAAATAGCTCCTCCACGACTGGACTACACTTGCCTTTCGAGTATGTAAACAGTAGTACAGGTTGTTCAATTTGAAAAACAGTGCAAACAACCTATTACTGATACCTCCATTTTTATGGGGATCAACACGACCTCCCTTATAGGCCACATGTTTGAACTGAGGCACTCAGAGATGTCAGTCTTGTTAGGCGAAAGTAATGACAAAACGCAAAGTTTTCTGAACGTCTTGAGAAGTCCAAGCTAGTATCCTCAGCTGAATACGCGATGATATTTGAGAACTGGTGTATACCCGATTCTTAGTTCTACTTTGATTAAGTCATTTCACGACAGGGATTCAAGTGATAGAAAGCGTTGACCACTTCACTTTGTGAATCGCATCAACTTGGCTATAAAAAGGCTGTTTGGCTTCTACTAACTTACATTATCTCTGATATTTGCGAGATATCAGGATACTTATTAAAGGGCTCCATTCCGCTGTCGTGCTATACAGCTGAGATATGCTCCTTGAAGTTTGGTGTGAAAACGTCACAAGTTTTTGAGTGCACTTGTCTTCACAGCATTGCTTGCGTATGGTGCAGCCACCATGTGAACAGATTCGATGTTAGGCGAGTCATTCGATGTTTTCAACCTTCGCCGACTGAGGTGACTTGGATATGTGTTGCACATGTCGAGCTACCGCCCATTTTGACGTGCAATGTTAGTCGAAGAATGATTGGGTTCGGAGAAGGTCAAGAGTTAACAGACCAAGATGTGAAGGCAATTCATGAAGTCTTTGATTGTTAGTCTGAACCGTGAAGACTGTTTGGCCAAGTTCTTCGAGGTGATGGAAATAAATGTCTAGACACTCTACGATGTGGTTCGAAGTCCACCATACACACCTCTTCACAATCATGAATATTTTCATTTACCTCCGTATAACAATTTCTTATCTCACGGATTTTTGCTTACTATTATGACATCCGTTTTTCCATCCACCTTTTCTTTGCATGCTTCTGTGAAATTTGACACCTGGCAATGATGCATTTCTATGCAAGGTTCTAAGTTGATCTGTCTGTCTGTCACCACATTGTCAATGAGGTTTTCTAGACGAGCGCATCTATTCGAACTACTTCTTATTGTAATTCATTTGTGTGATATCGCTGTAATTTATATAACCCTATTCCTATTCACTGGGAATTAAGTCAAATGACGATCGGTTTGACGAACTTAGCAAACGATTCATATCCATAAAATCTGTGACCTTGGTCCATGTAGTATAATTCACGGTTGCGTTAGAAATCTTGTCACAAACAAGGTTATATTTCACCTCGAAGCAATATTTTTATCTCTTAGTAGTTGAGAAATATGTCCGCAGCTCGGTCTGCAATGCAACTCAACAACGACTAAAGTAGCCGACGGCGGCCTGCTTGAACCTTGGGCTACCAAAATTATCCATCGAACATTTTTCACCTTCTTTCCTTTCAATTTGTTTTATGCATTTAAATATATTCTTCAAACGTATCATTTACTCTTGCACATTTCCAACTCTGTTTCTCGAGTCAGTAGCATACCAGAGAAAAAAATGTCAAGTTATATGAAAGTGAACTTTTCAGTGCACAAAAGTACATCATATTTCTATCCATCGGACGCTCAGCTTGAATTGCAGATTGTTGTACCGGCTGAATGAACTGCTACCACCACCGAACCATCGTTTACATTTCTGTTGACTCTTTATTATAGACCAGACGCCCATCCAAAACCAGTTGGCTATTTCTTCACATGATTGATTGCCTTGAATACTGTTGTTGTTGTTATTATTAACATCGTTCAGATGCAAAAACCATTTCGCGTGAAAGTATTGGTTCTGGGAGTGAATTTGTTGAATAATTATACGCTGAGAATTTCATACTGTCATACATATTGTTTGGAATAAAGTAGTTATTATTATTACTATGTAGCGCTAGGCAATGAGCCACAAATGTTTTACAAGGGTTCGCTAGGTGGGTTGTAAGTTCGAACCTTCGATTTGTCAGTAAGAAGCTGAACACTTAATTCTACCAACCAAGACCTAATATCCTCTTCTCTATTATCTATAATGACATTGTATATGTTTTTCTTTCAGCTCATTTCCTAAACTTGATCACCTAATTGAATATATTCAAGCCTTCTATATACCTATACATGAATGGGAACATTGGTTGACAAATTATGGGACTAAGTATTCACGTAACCAATTAACTGGACTTGCTTCATGCTTATCACGATCTGATAAACGTCAATATCAACGACTTATGAATACGATAAATCAAATCTATAATACAACAAATCAAACTCTACATGCCAATCCAGCTAGTTGACAAAGGAAACTGTAATCACATAAGAATGATTTATTTTATATATATATATATATATATATATATCATCTTGTAAAGAGTCGTCTTTTGCATTTGCACATTTAAATACATTCATTAATCAAAAGAGAATACTGATCCTAGAAAATATAAAGAGATATTGAGAGGGTGAGGGCAAGGATAGGGCAAGGGTATACAAAGGAAAGGTTCGCAGACCAATGAAGAAAAGAAGTCGACTGTACATACAATTAACAGAATTATATATATCTAATCAATTAATTAGCTATTAGAAGAGGAAGCTTGAAATTTCATCATTTCAGCACGAAATGCAGAAGGATTTGACCAAAGTTGAGCTGCTTGACCATTCAATGGACTGTCATTATTAGGCTCTGTACAAAATATTTACAATAACAATAATAATAATAAGCAGAAAATTTTACAAGTACAATGTAATGTGTATTATATGAAAAAATAAATATTACTGTGTGATAAGTGTATGCTTTGATGTGGTGTACGAGACGCATATATGGCTATTTCCCAAGGTTACAACGGATACATTATATATCAACCAACCACTTTTGTATACCACCTAACATCTCATACTGTATCCGTTTCCTATTCGAATAGTATAATTGTGATAGTGATCATTCATTTTCAAAGAAGAAGGACTGAGTACAACCTATCAAACACTGGACAAAGAAGTGAAGAAGAGTGCACGAAAAGACAAAAGACACTTCTAGGACACACGTGCAAATGAAGCAGAATAGGCTGCAGGTAACTAGCTTACTATCTGAGAAGAGATCAACACAGATGAAACCAATAAAACATAGGAAAGGGAACGTAGCTAACACCAAAGAGGAGAAACAAGGGAAACGAATCGAACACCACCTGCAACTCGTACAGAAATACCTTCAGCAGCCCAGACACAAAACTATTAGTGAACACAAAACCCACGAAAACAACAGAAGTGAAGTCCTGAACGCCATAAAGTTGCTAAAGGCCGGGAAGCAGCAGGACCAGATGGAATTCCTCCAGAACAACTTGAAACAGACTCAGCGACAACAGCGGACATGCTCACACTACTATTCCAGAAGATTTGGAAGGAAGGAAAGGTACCTGCCAATTGATTGGAAGAAGAGCTATCTTGTCAAGCTCCCAAACAGGGGCGACCTAAGTCTTTGCAAGAACTAACGCAAAGTCATGATGCTGTCCACTCCAAGTAAAATATTAAGCCGCATCATCCTGGAGGGACTAAAAAAATGCTGTGCAATCAAAATTACGACCAAAACAGGCTGGCTGGTTTCAGAAAGAACAAATCATGTCCGGATCAAGTTGCAACGATACGCTACGCATCAACATAGAACAGAGCGCGGAATGCCAGTCAACTCAACCCTACCTCAACTTCATCGACCTGGAATAGGCCTTCCATAGCGTCGACCGAGAAGTAATTTGACAGGCAGCTGCTTCAACACTACGGTTTTAGTGCTAAAAACCTTTATCAACCTCATTCAACAGCTATATGCTATATGATTACGCTACATACCAAGTGAACCACTCCTAGGTAACTAGTTCACTAATTACTAGCTGGTCCTAAGCCCGGATAAAGAGGGAAGGTTGGGCATATGGCTAGCAACCCTATAACAAGCACCGATCACCATCAATGGGAGAAATCTGAAGGAAGTTATCTCTTTCACCCACCTACCTAGGCAGCATCGTTCCAACTACAGAAAGTAGCACAGGTGACGACGTCAAAGCCACGATCGAAAAGACAGCAAGATAGGCCTTCCTGCACTAATCTGAAATAATCAGTATGGAGACCTACTCCACTGCACTGCACTGCACTCACCATAAAGCGTGAACAACATCCCGATTTTCAACACTAATTCAGTCAAATGAGTCAGTGCTTCTGTGATGGTTCACAGACTTGGCGCGTTACGAAAAGCATTTCCAACAGACTGCAGACATACATGAACAGCTGCCGCCTACGATCACTCCATACTGAAGATCAGATCAGGTGGCCAGAATAATAAGAATAAGCCACAAGGAACTCCGGTTGGCTCCACAATGAACCAACTAATTAAGAACCTATCGCCTAACAAATATGCAGAAGAAAGTAGAGATGGAGTGGATTGCATTGGACATAGACTTCAAAGACTGTTTCTGAACATTACGCGTCAGGCCAGATCGTCGAATGGAACGCGAATGGGAATCTACAAGTTGGGCGTTCGAGGCAAGAGTGACATGGAGGAGATAGTGTGAGGAAGAAATGAAAGCTTCTGGGTAGTGGTGAAGCCAGGTTGAAAAGACTGCAGAGAAGAGAGTGAAATGGCGATGGCGATGTGCTACTAAAGCCCTATGTTCCACTAGGAACCCAAGGGATAAATAATAAATATCGTTCCATTATGTTTGCTTTAGAAAAATATAGCACTGTTTTAGCAATGAAACACTGAATGGAAACAGTATTAGTCAGATAGGAACTTTGCTATAATGGTATTAATTACTGAGTATGAATTCATACTGTAGAAAAACTTTGATATATCCAGTTTAAGTTGTCACACTTCGTAAAAGGCATGCGTAAAGACCAGACTATACAATCCATAATGGTATGTAGATTTGACTGGGTATTATGAAGATGAATCAGAGAGATATACGATAATGATTAGTTTTTTCATAATTTAGTTTTACACTACAAATGTACCGCTTTCAATGGATAGGTTGATTAGGGGACGGTGGCGATCTAATCTACTCTCTCTCTCTCTCTTCCTTCACTTAATTTTGATTTCAATAAGCGTTACACGTTGAAGGAAACAATGTCCACTGTTTAATAAACCTATTCCCCTTTATGAACTTAAATAGACAAAGAACAATGATTGCAATAGGATGCCATACATGATACCATTTTATTTCACCGATCTCTCATCAGCAGCCTACAACCCAACATATTTAAATAACATGTAACAAAAGAAGTTAGTTGACAGGAGTTGATATGATACAATAAGGAATTCAAACATATGGATAGAATGAATAAGACATATCTGATTCACAATTATTGTTCTTTTTCTACTCAAGTTCACTAAGGCGGTATAAATATATGTATAAAATTTCTTAAGAGATGTCTCTCTTACGGAATACCTAACTGAGTAACAACATCAACGTAGAACCTCGCACCAAAGTGCATCGGTTCAACTTGCCACACTTTACAGTAGTATACAAAGAACAAGTGGATAGAAAAGGAGTGATATCAAAGTAGACAAGGTTGTGTGAGAGAACAAACTATCTGAAGATGAGGGTTTAGTGCAAATATTCAAGCTTTAGAAGACGCCAGCCATGTCACCAACAGTCCTCAATCACTGATTCCTTTTGTCTCAGGGACCTCATTCAGACAGTCTACATCTTCTCAAACGGCTTAGACCGATAGTCAGCGACTTCATGAATCGGTGTCACGTTTTGGTTTAGCCACTCTGAACCCTCTTACAAACTAATCGGACTTACCCCGTCAAGGTACATCGTAGTAGGCGGTGGCTGGGCATGAGCAGTACACATGCAAGCCATCTCATTCCATTTAGGTTCACAACCTCATCAATCAACATGCCTGTCTTACCTAGTACCTTTCGGCTAACTTAGATATTGCTCACACGGTGTTTCCACCAAACACGGACAATGCAATGGTGTAGAAGAATAAGAAGACAAAATAACTAGAGAATTACCTCAAATGAAGTTTTACAATGAATGCCTTAACTCATTCTACTTTTCTCGTCAACTCATTGTTTCATTTAAACTCCCTCCTCTCAAAAATCTTCTACATATCAGTAAATTTCTTTTAGAATCAAAGAAATTACTTACTGATGATTTAAGAAGACAGGCTAACACTCTTGAAGGTTTGAACATTATGTCGGAGAAAATTCACCAATTTTATCCATCATCAACATCAAGATCAATATAGGATCTAGTATAACTCCGTAACGGTTCAAGTTGCCACACCTCATATATCAGCACATGAAGTAACAAGACAATAAAATGGAAAATGAAGAAGGAAAGAAAAATTGGTCAAAGGAAGTGGTAAAATAGAGGAAGGAAGAATCAGAAGATAACGAGATCAAGTATAGCAATGAAGATGAGGATAATTTGTGTATACATCTGCACCACTGACATCGATTCCGAGCCATATATATCACCTACAGTCTCCAACCACAGGTTTCTCTTGTTCAGTGGACCCCAACTGATAGTCTGCATCGCCTTACATAGCTCAAGCCTTTTACAGGCTTAAAACTACGTCTGACTTCGGTGTTACTCACGTGGCGATACCACGGCCTATACCACGAAGGCAGCGGTGGTCAAACAACTGTCTTCTACCTTTATAATGACGATATTTCACAGTCATACAACAGAACACAGCAAACTGCATCACAATACACTCGACTCTTTATAGACAGTCGGATATTGAGGCGGCACCACACATTTACTATAAATATACTTACAATGAATCCTTACATACAATGATGTTAGTTAGGATGTCAACACTCTCCCAGTCAATATTATGCTTTTCATCATTCATTAAAAATATCTTTATATTAAGCTGATTTTCTCTACAATCTATAAATTTTCCATGAATATACGAAGTATCGTACTGACTATCTGAGAATATCAGAGTCACGGTTTAGCAGACTAGTATTATTGATACTAGGGTGATGATTGAAAGTGAAATTTGGCCTGCGACAAGATTCAAAATTGTTTGGCGAACTTTCATGAAATTCCTGAAACTTATATCTTCAAATTGTTCAGTATAAAATTGGATCTAATCAAAACTGAAACACTTTCAATTAAGATTCAGTTCAAGAATTCATACAAACCATATAACATCGAAAAGACCTGATTTCAATCCAAGCTGATCGATAATATTGGAAATCAATAATAACCATTATCAAAATAATATTGTATAGAACTAGAAAACTTCAAGAAAACCTATAACAAAGTGATATTATAAGTAGATGAAGGCTTAGACACTGGGGTTGATGAATAAATATCACATTACAAATTCAATTGTCTACGATCCTTTGAAGTTTATGTCGGATAATTGTAATGAAGATATAGCCAATTCAACAGGAAAGCCTATCATAAATATGCTCTTAAAATGGAATTTAATGAACGACATATGCAAAGAACAAGAAGATAGAAAAAGACTGATATGAAAGTAAACAAAGAGATATAACAGGGGAAAGAATTTATAGTTTAAGGTTAGTAAAAATAGTCAAGCTTTAGAAGAGGTCAACGAGTGAATACATCTGCACCATTATGACCGATTTCTAGCCATTTCACCACACCAAGAGTCCTCACCCATTGATTTTTATCGTCTGAAAGACTCCAGCCAGGTAGTCTACACTTTCCTACCTGACTCAGACCAAAAGTCATAAAATGGCACTACGTATTGGTCTGGCCTTTCTTAGCTTTCTTCCAACGTAATTCAATCTCTGCTGGTCGAGGTACGGGGTGCCTGAGGATGCGCAATCCTTGTGCAAGCCAACTCAGTCACTAAAGGTTCACAAATACATCTAAAGACAATCAATTAAAGATAATTACAGTAAGCATGAACTCAACTTTGAGAGTGATGATTTCAGAGGCTGAAAACAGCACTGAACAATACATATTCTACAAGCATGTTGATCCACCTTGATAGAACCAAACGTCGACAGGTCAAACGTTCCATATCACCTCTAATTGTGTGCACAAGTTTACGTGAATCTACAGTACCAGTTACATTAGGAAAAGAGAGAAGGGTATATATACCTTAGGTTCTTTCAGTATATAACTTAAAATCCCTTAACATGATCAACAAATAGAGTATTTAGAACCTTCTTAAATTCACTGAGGCTGGCTGTAGTGATGATATAACTGAAGCTGGAACTGTATTCCCAAAGAATTAGAATGTAATTGGAACTTCTTAGCATCTTTATATTCCTTATTGTACCCTATCGATTCCTGTGAACTAACTTCATTTGACAGTAAAAAGTATGTACTTAACAATGTTGGATTGTTAGCAGCTGATGAGAAATAGTACAATGTTATTCTTCTCCAATCGTCGTTTTTGTGTGTGTGTGCGTGTTCAATACCCAGTATCTTTTGAATGAAGCAGTTGGATAAAACGAGAAGTACTTGTGAGATAACAACTTGACAATCAGATACCTATCAAATAAAGTATGACAAAAACATTTGTTGAACTGAGTTAAGACACTAACCTGCTAGTAGACTTCGTATAGATAAGAGTAGATTTTCTACAGTCAATAGGGGAGACCACATTTCTTTTAAAATATCCAAGCATATTACTCCACGAGTATCCACGTTAGGATGATAACACTTAGAAACAAACCGTACATTCGGAGGACTGTAAGGATAGTTTGGTCCAAACTCAAGTGAAAGTTTATACTGTTGACCTTCATACACCTTAAATAAATAGATAAAATACAAGTGTAACATAAAATTGTGAAGAATGTTAACAATAAAAAATAAATTAGAGATATGCTTACTGTGCCATCAGGACCACGGATAGATGCAAGCCAACGAGTAAGATTTTCACCATCTGGAAATGCTGTAACACTTTTATCCTTAGATGTCTGTAACAAAAAAAAAATAATTTAGTGAATAACAATTAGTAACATACAATGTGATAGCATAGATAATTTATTTCACAAACTACTACAAATATCATAACAACTGAGATTACTGTTGCTAAATGGCTGAATCATTTCATAAGAACTGGTAATAATACTTTCATAGAAAAAGACAAGACGTGATTGCAGTGAAGAGGAAGATTTTCCCTTTCCATGAAGTCATTTACTAAGCTGTACATCCGTGAATTTATGTTACAGTGAGCAGAACATTCTAGAATTATTTCCGGTTAAGGAGCAAAACGATATTGAACTAACTACAACATCAACAACAATCGCCAATCACCCTTAACGGGAGAAACCTAAAGGAATGAGTCTCTCACCTACCTGCCTAGGAAGCATCGTTTCAACTACAGACGAGGATGTCAAAGCCACGATTGGAAAAGCAAGACAGGCTTTCACTAATCTGAAATAATCAGCGCGGAGATCTACTTCACTCCAATCAGCAAAAAGCGTGAACAACATCCGGATTCTCAACACCAATCCAGTCAAGTCAGCGCTGCTATGTGATGGTTCAGAAACTTGGTGTGTCACGAAAAGCACTTTTTACAAACTACAGACATTCATCAACAGTTGCAGTCCACGCTCACTCTATACTGAAGAACAGATCAGATGGCCAGAATAATAAGAATAAGCAACAAGGAACTCTGGCTGGCTGGCGACGAACCAACCAAGAACCTATCACCCAACAAATATGCAGAATAAGAAAGTGGAGATGGATTGGGCATACACTGAGAAGGTCGACTGAGGACATCATGAGCCAGGTTCTCGAGTGGAACCCAAAGGGGAAACGACGAGTCAGGCGTCCGAGCCGAGGGTGATATGGAGGAGAGCATGTGAGGAAGAAATAAGAGCTTGTGGGCAGTCGTGGTGCCAGGTTGAAAAGACTGCAGAGAAGAGAGTGGAATGGAGGCGTGCTACTGAAGCCCCATGTTCCACTTAGAACCCAAGGGAATAATAATAATAATAATAATAGGAGGCAAAACATATTGAATATAACTAAAACAAGTTAATTAATACACATTTGAATCTAGAGTGGGGAAAATAGACAAGGGATTAGGTAACTATGAAATACAGGATGAATGTATGGCGAAGTAGGAAAATGAGCGAAGGGTTATGAAAACAATGCAGGTTAAATTTATGAATCTTGAATTCAAAAATAATACTGCTGCAGACATCTTCAGGAAAGGACTGTCAAAATCCTTAGATAGAATATACTTCGCCGCCAACTTCCGAATTATTTTCTCGTGCAAGAAACGTTTTAGTCAATATGTGAAAGACAAGCCGACGCACATCAATGTGTGTATACCAGACTAGCCAGTTGGGGTCCGTGGGACCAAAGAAACTAGTGGTTGGAGACAGACTCTAGGTGATCACATGGCTGAGAACCAATGTGAGTGGCACAGATGTATCCGCACACACATCATCCTCATCCTCCCTTTTTCTCTTTTAGTACTTTATATTTCTTTTAGCTGAATTTTTTTCCTTCTTCATTTTCCACTTCACTGGCTTTTCACTTGATGTACTGATAAGAGATGTGGCAACTCGAACCGTTACGCAGTAATGCCTGGTCCTATGTTGATTTGGATGGATGTGTATACCAGTGTACTTTCTCCTATGGAGCTGAGAACATCGACTGTATTATGCGTCCGCTTTTAAATGGTGTCCGCGAACACTACCGAACCTGACTGGCAAAGGGAGAACAGAAACGTAACTTCAGTTCAATGACAGAACACTTTGTGAGCTCAGGCCTCTTAGCTCTTTTTGAGAGCTCATTCGAAATTCTCTACATGGTTCGACCAAACCACTAGAAGGGAGTAAGATCAAGGTATTTGTCTATAGCTAAAACACAAGCCATCTAGAAGTTCGAACCAGCGTTATGCGTCCAAAAAAGGTATGTCCAACCTTTATCTTCACTATGACCATCATAAAACCTTGACTGTCATACATTCATCCTGTACACATGTATTTCCACAATCCCTTGTCTATTTTCCTACGCTGTTATAGATCTAACCAGCATTACGTAATTATAGTTTTATTTTCCCCACTCTAAACCCAAATGTATATGAATTAACTTCCTTTAGTTATTTTCAATATGATTTGCGCCTAACCGGAAGTAATTCTGGGACGTCCTGTAACACATATTCACGAATGTACAGCTTAGTAAATGACTTCGTGGATAAGGAAGTTTTTTCTCTCCGCTGAAACCACGTCTTGTCTTTTCCTAGAATAATTCTTTCTAAATCCTTAGGCATCATTCATCTGACAGACAAAATAAATGTAGAATCTTGCACACAGGTGGAGCGATTCAGGTTACCACACTTCACAGTACATTAGCATACAAAGAACAAGTGGACAGAAAAAGAGTGATATCAAAGTAGGCAAAGGTGTATGAGGAGAGGAATTTGAAAATCAGGGTTAGCGAAAATATTCAAGCTTTAGAAGACATTTGAGTCATTGTGATCGATTTTCAGCTATTTCTACAATTCTGATTATATAGAGGACTCTAGTCAGACAATTCACACCTCGTTACAGGGCTTAGATCAACAGTCAGACTTCGTGAACTGATATACCACGCGTTTATCTGGTCACCCTTAACCTTCTTCCAACCCAAACATACTTCGGTGAACATTGCACATTGAGGTGGGCGGTGGCTCAGCATGCGCAATACATATCCAAGCCACCCCAATCGGTGAAGGTTAACAAACTCATCGACTGACTTGTCTTCCTTGCCTAATACGCTTCAACTTATCTCGACACTGCTCGCATAGTGATTTCACCACATGGGAGCAAAGCTACGAAGACAGAAACCTGTAGCCACTTCGTATCTTATACTTTTAACGGCCATGTCCCACAGTCGCAAGAAAAAAACAGAACAAACTGCAGCACAGTATACTCATTCTTTAATAGGTAGGTAGTCGGCGATAAAGATGATGCGAAACACCAAATGTCGAACTGGCCTTCTATATTTGAGCTGATGTAACTCTCCAAGTAAGTGGAATCGTCGAAACATTTAACCACTTGACTCCCTATTCTTAAACTAGGAGTACTTGCAGACCTGTCCTGGAGTATCATCTTAGATTTAACACGTGTAGAACGCATGCCAAATGTAATCACACACTTGCGCTTAAGGTGTTCAGAAAACTCTGAATTTTGTCGGCATCGTTTAACAGGACAATGTCATCTGCGTACTCCAAGTTAAACAGATCAATCCCTGTAAAATTCCGAGTAGGGTTTTGACTCTTAGTATGTCTGTAACAAAGCTAAATAGGAACTGTGATAACAGACACCACTGGTTGTCCTCATCTCATACAACAACTCCCCACTAACCTTTAAATGGCTATGTATTTGAGTAAGGAACGATCAACGTTAGAAATTTGTTTGCTACTCTCTCAACAGTTAGACACAACCACAACATCTCTTGGTCGACAGAGCTGAATTCCATCTTTAAATGATAGTGTTAGGTGTGGATATATTTGTGTTGTAGAATCTGTCGAAGAGTGAGGATTTGATCGATGCACCTTTTTCCATGTCTGAGAAATACCTGGTTTTCTCAAAATGCTGTCCTCGAGCTGCAGTCATGCGTCGGATAACTATGGACCCAAGGACCCAGGACAAAAAGTCGGTCAAACTGATTCCTGTATGGTTGTCAAAAATACACTAGAATCACCAATGATCTACACCAGTCTGACGGGACTACTGATTTCTATACACTAGTTAGTAACTTACTTGCTCCTTTCAGTAATTCGCTACCTCCGTCCTTAAAAACCTTTGGTGACAAACCACCAGGTCCTTCTGATTCGCACCGTTTCCGGTTTGAAACAGCCTTCTCAACTTCGACGACTTGGATAACCAAGAGCTACGTCTAATTCAGGTTTGGGTTGGATGGTGGAAATGTGAAAAGTCGCAAACCAGTCGAACTGTGCTTCAGTGTTTTTCCCAACATCCTAACCAACTATCCTAAGAGGTTGTCAGGATTCCATCCTACTCGGTGATGGTCTCAATAAATATCCTCTTCTTCTTACTAGTATCCTTAATAAGCCGAAATGTTAAACATCTCACTCGCTTTTGCAACCCGTAACTGCTCGCAATCACTGCGAAGACTCTTAGCCAATCTACGTTTGGGCTGCTTTCACTTTTGATTGCGATGAATCTGTAACCAATCAGTTTAGATGAGGTTGAAGAAACTCACTAGCCTTTGGATGCAGGTGACTGTCTGTACCACTGTTTTTACAGTAGACTGAATATTACGCCAGGCTCAAACCTGGAACAGAATTGCTGCCATGTTCATTCTTGACTTTCATTTCTTTCAGTCGAGCACACAAAGGTTTAACTGTAACCTACATTATGTAAACATACATGTGAAGATTCACCACACTGACCAGGTGGAGTCAAGTGAATAACTATACTTTAACACGCATTTGCGTTTTAGAAGCACAGCATACATCCATGTTTCGAGATTCCAGAGTATTAGCAAGAAGCATCTGTTGCACGATTTGGTACAGAGTTCAGACATTTAAAGTTTCAATGTGAAGTTGGTGGCGCGGCTTTAGGAGACTAGGAATGATGTTTTGTTGGTTTGAACAGATAGAAATGTTCGAAGTGTGAGAGGTTGTTGAAGTTTTAAGAGGTTTAATACTGATATTGGCATCAGGAAGTGAAGGCAAGGGAGGGCGACAACTGTTAGAAAGACAGGTTATAGCATATTCGGTTTTGCATACTGCTAGAGGCGTGTGAATAGTCAGTACTTCCTCACCCTCTATAGGGTGGAAGTTGTTTCTGAAAGATACCTGAAAGAGGAAAAGGTTTAGCTTTTGCATAACCGCATAGCACAAAAGACACTATGTTGGATAGAAGTTTTATTGCGCTAACGCCACAAAAGAAAAACTCATACTGCTGAAACCAGAATATCACAAATCAGAGTGTGCTTTTTTGAGTCGACCTTT